TTCATGTATCTCTTGTTTTAATGCTCCTAGCACCTGGTGATCCTTTAGAACCCGTTGATGGGGTTTGTAGTGATGCTGGTGGTGGGGTTTTTAGTGATGTTGGTGGGCTTTGTAGTGATGCTAGTGGGAGTAGGATCAATGTGGATGAGGCATTTAATGAGGTTGGTGAAAGGAAGGAAAATAACAGTGATGAACAGGATGGAATATTTAATGAGGCTGGTAGTTATAGGAGCATAGAACACGGGGACCACTTTGTTGCTGGTAGTAGTAATGTCCATAATGATTGTTTTCCTCAACAACCTGATATAAATAATGTTGAAGAACTTGAGGAAAATGAGGATGAGCATGGGTTTGAGGATTTTCCTGATTTGTCTGACAATGAAGATGATGAGACTATTCTAGCAAGGGATAATTTGAGGCATTACAAGGTGACTCAACAGCATGCTGGTATTACTTTTATTTTCTAAATAGTGTTATCCATTTAGTTTTTAAGCATAATTTACATTTATATTTGGTGTTAATGAATATTTGTTTCTATTGTAGATAATATAAACATTGTTGTTCAAGGTGAGTATGATGTAGAAATACACTGTGATGATGAAGTAAGTTACCAAACCATAAGTGATGAAGAGGACAGTGAAGCAGAACTTGGTATCAGAAGAAAAGCAAGGCATCCTGTCTTTGATGAAAGTGAAGGCAACTAGGAAATTGAGCTTGGTATGATATTTCTTAATAAGAAACAATTCAAGAAAGTTGTGGGTCAATTGAGCATCAGGGAAGGGAGAGAGATTACATGGAAAAAAAATGATAGGCTTCGGATGATGGCAGTGTGTAAGAATGAGAAATGTGACTGGAAGATTCTACTGGTGATGGACACTCCTACAAATTCTTTAATGGTAAAAACTTTCTATAATAGTCACACATGCTCGAGGATTGTTACAAACAAAGTTTGCACATTGTCTGTTACTGCTGATCATCTAGTTAACACAAGAGGACTAGCTTCCCTGCGTATGAATAGGGCAGATGTTTTTGAGGCAATTTGGGATGATTTAGGTGTGGAGTTGACACCTATGCAACGCAAGAAGACAAAGGATAAATTGAGGAACAAATCTGAAAGTGTTTCTAATGCTGAATACAGCAGGTTATTCAATTACGCAAATGAGCTTAGGTCAAAAGATCTAGAAGCAAACATTGTGCTTGAGTGTTGTAGATAATCAGCAGATACAATTCCTACTTTCTTAAGGATGTACGACTGTTTCAATGCGTTGAAGAAGGGATTCCTTACTAGATGCAGACGTGTAATAGGACTTGATGGTGCATTCCTCAAAGGTGCCTACAAAGGAGAGTTGCTCACTGTTGTTGGACGGGATGCAAACAATCAAATGTACCCAATAGCTTAGGCTGTAGTGGAGGTTGAGAAAAGGGAGACATAGGAATGGTTTTTTGAAGAACTGAGGAAAGATTTGTTTATGGCTGATGGGAGCAAGTTTTGCATTATGTTTGACCAACAAAAGGTAAGTATCAACGTGTCTCATGACTTATTTAGCATTATAAGCAATTGGGTCCTCTAGCACTTCATGTTCATGTGATTTCAGGGACTTACACTTTATGTTTATGTGATTTTAGGGACTTATTAAGGCTATGGAGGAGCTCTTCCCATGTGCTGAAAACAGGTTCTATGCTAGACATAAGTACAGCAATTTTAGGAAGCAACAAAAAGGCAAGGAGTTACAAAAGGCATTTTGGAAGTGTGTTAAGGCACGAACAATACCTGAGTTCAGCAAAGCTATGGATGAGTTGACATCATTGAAACCTTCTACAACGGACACTATGTTAAACACAGATCCAAACCATTGGTGTAAAGCGTTCTTCCAAACAGAGACAAAGTCAGATATAGTTGATAATAACATGTGTGAGGTTTTTAATGGATTGTTAATTGAATCAAGACATAAGGTTATTGTCTCATTGCATCAAGATTTGAGGACATTTTGTGATCAAAGGACAGTGGTAAGAAGGGAATTTGGGGATAGAAAGTTTATAGATGATTTTGGTCCAAGACATGGGAAAAGCTGGTAGCAAATACAAGGGGAAGCAGAAAGTGCAAATTCTTGTGGTTGGGGAGTAACTATTATGAAGTTCAAGAGAACGGTCATGATTTATACATGGTTAATGTGGATGAAAGAAAGTGCACATGCAAGGATTGGGATCTCACTGGAATCCCTTGTAGGCATGCCATGGTAGCTATTAACACTAGAAAGGAAAAAGCAGAAGATTATTTATCAGATTAGTATAGGAAGGAGAAGTTTAAAGCTGCTTATGAGTATGTTGTACTTGTAACTGAAGGGATGAATTAGTGGGAGAAAACTGGAATGCCACTTGTTCAACCCCCACTAGCCAGGAAAATGCCAAGAAGGCCAAAAGGGAAGAGGGTTTTGGAAGAATGGGAAGGGCACGCTAACATGAGTCGAAAAGGGAGACAAATGACTTGTTAAAAGTGTTTCCAAAAAGGACACAATTCAAGAAAATGCAACGCACAAGGACCCACCACTGTAAGTTTTACTTTACAGTGTACATAACTTTATGTGATAACAGGTTTAATTGAGATATATTTTAACTTGTTGTAGGCTCCTCAACATGAAAATGCCAATGCAAGTGAAGATTCATGTTGAAGATTCCCAACATCCCACAACAGTCACTGAAAATGATGTGACTTTTAGTAATTTTTTTTTTATTGTTTAAAGATATGCTCATACAAACTGTTGGACTATTGTGTAATAAACCATGCACCATTTTTTTTTTTTTTTCAGGATTCTCAAATTCCTTTGAGTCAAGTGGTGAACCCAACTCCTGTCAATGATCCAATGTCTGTGCAAAAGCAGAATGAAGAGAATACCAATCCAGCAACTGTCCAGCAACTAAAAAATAGAGTTTAGATACCTACAAAAAGGCAAAACAAGAAAGTTAGTCCCTAAAAAATATAGTTAATGCACACTTTGATTTATCTAAGATCAGATTGATTGATTATTTATGTAAAATTTATTAGGGTCAAAGGAGTTCAGAATTAGCAACTGGGAATCCCCCTGCAGGTGCACCACATGCCACTGTAGAAACTCCACAGCAACCTAGAAAAAGAGTGAAGACAACTGCAAAAGAACCACCAAAACATAGGGCAAAAAGTATTGGTAATAGGTCAAATCAATAAAAAAGGAAGTGTTGCAAAGTGTTTGATACTGGACAATTGGTAGTATATTTTGCTTTGTGCTTGTGTTTGGCCAACTATCAAAACTCTTGTGTTGAAGCTTTAGGACATGTGCTACTTAGTATGCTTTACAATTGATGGGTAAGCTGGATTTTTGGTAAATATGAGACAGTTGATTGGCAAACTAGTTTTTGATGTATGCTTGATACTTGACACTAAAAATGAGAGATCTTTTGTGTGTAAGCATTGCCTAATACTTTGTACTATGTGTATCTAATCTTTGTTTTTTTGGTAATTTTATATGTATCTTGATTGTTTGGTTTTATGCACTTACTACCCAGCATTTGGAAAAATGCATTAAATTTCCCTAATTTCTAAAATGGATGTTGAACTCATAGGAAAACATGCCATACACATTGTAGCAACCACATTTCATCACATGTTTGGAAAATAACACTTTTGGAGATGAGATGAAATTCACAAGATATCATTACCATTACCATCTAGTTTCAGTACTTATAACATTCTACATCTCATTCACTTCCTAAGTACAAACAACCCAACAATCACTGCCATAACAATAAAAAACACCAAGCAAACAAATTGACTAATTATGGCTACTTGAGAGCTTCTCATCTTTACCTTCTTCACTTTCTTCTCTAGCATCCTTATCTTTCTATCCATTAATCTACATTGTGTCTTCATGAGTTCATTTTCTTGCAACAATTTGGCATTTTCCTTCATCAAATCTTCCTTTTCCTGCTTCAAGTTTCCCTTTTCCAACTTCAACTCGCAATTCTCTTTCTCGATTCTTTCTTTCTCCTTCAGATTTCTGCATTCCCTATCTTTATATATCAGTAGTAAATCCCTAGCTCTTCCCTCGATTCTTTCCTCACCATGTAAGAAATGGAACTATGGGCATTGACCCTAATACAATCAATTGTTAAATCAAACCTTAAATAAACTTAAAACTATGAACAAAAACCTAGAAATCTACTTTTTATCTTACCGTTATCTTTGGACAACAACGAAACCTCATTCCCATATTTTGGTAAGTGAATGCAGTTCGGACAGCAGCAAGTAACCCACACTCGCACCTAAACTCTTCAAATTTGATCGAACCCACACTTTGTGAAGAAGAACTAGCCTCCATAAATCTTGCTGGGGATTATGTTTGGCAAAGAAAGAAGAAGAAAAAGGTTCTAGGGTTTCACAGGTCATGGAAGAATGAGGAGAGTTAGCTGTGGGTGGGGAACTTGATTGAAATTGAGGAAAAAAATAATATAATATAAATCTCATGTGGGCCCTCACAAAAAGTGAATCTGAAAAGTGGGGGAAGCAATCTGACATGTAAAAATGCCATGATGGTAAAATTATCTTTGTTGGATTTACACGTCATTAAAGATCAAAAAAGCTAGTGATTTTGTGGCATCTTAATGTGCCACCTGTGCATTTAACTGATGGAAAGACTATTTTAGTATTGAAAATAAAAGTTTAAGGATAATTTTTGGTACTTTTTAAAGGTGAGAGACAATTTTGATGCCAAAGAGAAAAATTGAAGAATCAAAATGGTATTTTAATAATAAAAGTAAATTAAAAAAATCTAAATTATTAAAAAATAATAAATATTATCTATTTTAATAATTATACATTATCCAATATTTTTAAAATTTTA